ATTTTCACTTAGTGTAAATAGCATCTATCGCTAAGAAAATATGCTATTTTCACTTAGTGTAAATAGCATCTAATTGCTATTTACACTAACTTACACTTAGTGTAAATAGCATCTATTGCTATTTGCACTTAGTGTAAATAGCCTCTATCGCTGTTTACACTTAGTGCAAATAGCCGCTGCCAAGAAATGATCATTCATGTTTTTATAACCGCTGGCCAAATTCAAAAACGAAACTAAAATTAAATAATCTTTGAAATCATCTTTTTGTGTTTCGGGGGCCCAACGCAGCTTGCGTATTTTGAATGAATGAATGAATGATGCATTTATATAGCGCTTTATTGTGTATTGCTGTACACCCAAAGCGCTTTACAATCATGGGGGGGGGGTCTCTCCTCAACCCCCACCAGTGTGCAGCATCCACTTGGATGATGCGCGGCAGCCACAGGACAACGGCGCCAGTGCGCTCACCACACACCAGTTACAGGTGGAGAGGAGAGAGAGTCATAGAGCCAATCAAGTGGATGGGGATTATTAGGAGGCCATGATAGACAAGGGCCAGTGGCGGCAATTTGGCCAGGACACCGGGGTTACACCCCTACTCTTTTACGAGAAGTGCCATGGGATTTTTAATGACCACGGACGGTGCTTTTTGACAGTATAGTGTCCCCGTCACTATACTGGGGCGTTAGGACCCACACAGACCACAGGGTGAGCACCCCCTGCTGGCCTCATTTTGTGTATAGGGAGGATTGGCTCTGCTCTGTGTCCTTGTAGCGATATTTGATAGTTAAGAGGCAGCAGCTTTCCCACGAGTGGGTGTGGTTTCAGGCAGCACAGACAGCGGACATGCCCCCAGTGTTTGATAGCAGAGGATACCGCCCATTTTTTCAAGTACATAAAATAAGTTATCAAAATCTCGAAAAAATGGCCGGTATCCTCTGCTCTCAAACACTGGGGGCATGTCTGCTGTCTGTGCTGAAACCACGCATTTTTTTAACATTCAAATTTGGCTGAGTGGTTAATAAGAAATTTTTCTGTGGTGTGACAAACTCAGAACACATACTTAATATTGACTTTACAGGGATTTTAAGTTTTGGGGTTTTTAAGTAGGTTTCCCTAACTGCGTATGAAGAGGATGCCTCTTATTGCCTCATACATGTACCTCAAAATATCTCATTACATAAAAAAATCACTGTACATATTCTGCTTTTTATTCTCCAGAACTATCTGGTTAAAATATGCATGCATTCAGCTTTATGCTGCACTTTATGCTGCATTGAGACTCCAGCTCTCCTCCAATGAAATATACATGTTAACTACTGCCAATGGCAAGTATATAAGTGCTTTAGTTTTACCTCCGGATCAAAGCATATCAGAATTATAGCTCAACCTTCAAGTAGGTTTGACATAAAAGCTACAGCAAGGTGAACTCGACCCTTTAGAAACCGTGTGGAGATGTGGTCAGTGCAACTGGATAAATAATAAATGTTGAAGAGGTTGGTTTGATAGAAGTGGAAGCTCTTACGTACATGTGGATCCAACAGACTCAATATCAGGTTTAAACAGGAGCTCTCACACATACCCACACTTTCCTTTTCCTTTTCCTTTTTCCTTTCCTCTCTCCAGGCCCATGATGGTCATCACACAGAAGATCACAAGTTTGGCATTTGAGATTCATGACGGTATGTAACAGTTTTATTAATCCAATTCCCATCTTCTTCTCTTTATGAAGTTTTCATGGTTGAAAAGCCTGAGTAATGAATGGTATAATAAAACTGGCATGATTTCTACCTGAAATCTTTCTAGAGCTCCATTGTTTCTGTCTATGCCTGTGTCAGAGGCTCTAGGAATTACACAAGGGCTGTTAAACCCTGCTGCTACACCACATCCTCGTATGCCATTGATTTATACCACTGCTGGCGCTGTACCCAGTGAGTGGGCCAAAGGAATTTGGGCTGCCAGCTGGATGTTGCACTGCATAGACCACACTTACCGCATCCAACACACTATACCGCTTATTATGCAACTTGGTGAAATCTGTTTAATAAGATACTAATTGTGCTACATCTCCACATCATTTTTGGATGATCTGGATCATTGATAAAGGAGAATGAAGGTGATTTCAAGGTCCTCCCTTCAACTGAGTGTGTTAAAGGGACAGTTCACCTAAAATAAAAATTCTGTCATCATTTTGACACACCATATTGGAATATACACTACCATTAAAAAGTTTGAAGTCAATAAGACTTAAATTAGCAAGGACACATTAATTTCATCAGAAGTGACAGTAAACATATTTATAATGTTTCTGTTTCAAATAAATGTTATTTTGAACTTTATATTCATCAAAGAATCCTGAAAAAAAAAAAAAAGTTTCCAAAAAAATATTAAGATGCAAGTTTTTCAACATTGATAATAATAAGAAATGTTTTTTGACCACCATATCGGCATATTAGAATGATCTCTGAAAAATCATGTGATACTGAAGACTGGAATAATTTTGTCGCTTGAAAATTCAGCTCTGCATCACAGGAATAAATTACATGTGAAAATATAATAAAATAAAAAACAGCTATTTTCAATTATAATAATATTTCACAATATTAGTTTTACTATATTTTAAATTAAAATTGATTAAAATTATTACAACTTTTTTTTGTGCCTCAATAAAACTTCTATATCCTTCGACCTTTCGACCTTGACAGCCCCTGGCCATGATTTGCTTTCCTTGGTTGGAAAAGAGCAGCTCAGACATTCTTACAAATATCTTCTTTTGTGTTCCACAGAAGTTAGTAAGTCAAAGTGGTTTGGAATGACATGAGGAATTAATACTGACAGATTTTTCATTTTTGGATGAACTGTACCTTTAAGCACAAAGGAATGAGAATCAGAGGAAGCGTGATGGCAGGAACCCAAGAGACACTCTAGTTTTATCAACGACTGGCAAATCTCCCATGTAAACAAGACAACTGATAAGAAAAACTAGATTGCACACCATCCTAGCATAGTTTTTAGATACTTAGTCAACCAAAGAACTAATCGCTGTGATATGTGACTGAGTCACATTTAGAGTCAAACAGAAGTAGCATCACAGTCACCACATTTCCTTTAACAGGGTTTATGGGAAGATTAAGAAAGCACATCTCGTTTCTCTGAAGCGATAGCTCACAGAACAGCTGGCCGAAACTACAGCCCAGCACTTTTGAGCTGCCGCCGCATGACTTGCTGTTAGCTCTGCATGTCCTGCTCTAAGACACCACACATGACAATATTAATCCATGTGTTTTAATGAAGTTATGTAATAGTCTCCTTCCTCCACCAATTTATGGAGAACTAAGGCTTATGAGATTGCTGCAACTTTAGTTTGAAAGAGTACAAAGATTTTATCAGACATAACTTCTGGAGAAAAATAGCGCAGACACTGGACAAAGATGAAACTTTCTAGAGTGCACGTGTTGACCGCCTGTGTGTAAAATGTATTGTATTTTTGGCCTTTTTGTCAAATGCTAGAGATAACACAGAGGGGACAGGAAATTGAGGCATGGAGTACTGCAGTGATGACACACTTTTGTAGGCCAACCCGGATATTAGCATCACCCTGTTTAAAAAAAAAAAAAAAAAAAAAAAAGTAATTTTTAGTTGTTTTTTGGAAGCACTGTGACCACTAAGGGTGCTTTCACACCTGGCCTGTTGTTTCGGAACCTGGCGCGTTTCCCCCCTTAGCTCGGTTAGTTTGGGCATATGTGAACATGGCAATCGTGCTCCGATCCGCGCCAAAATAATCGGTCCAAGATCGCCTGAACGAGGTGGTCTCGGCTCGATTGAAAACTGAGAAAGCAATCCGATCCAACGGACCAACGAACCAGGCTATATCACAATTTATGATAGGTAATTATGTAAGTTCCGTGAAAAACATTAGCTTTGTTGTTTTGCTGATACCTCAAAATAAACCTGTGAATGTTTGTGGGTGAGCACGTCTTTGCCATTCAAAAATCAAAGTGCACTATTTTATAATGCCGTCTTATTGCTCTTCTTTGTAGTACGTGCATTTTAAAAATGTTCTCCTGCTCAAAATGATAAATTATTATAACGACAGCTACAAAAAAAACAACAATAAGCCCGCGAACCTGTTATCGTTCCATCCTGACGGATGACATGCGTGACATGCATGACAGCTAAGTGGAATCCAGGAAAATAAACTGTGGAACTTTGACCAATGAGAGAACAGTTTACTCACGAGCGTGACTTGTATTAACAAATTTGGTCCGTTTAGAAACTTTACCTTGTGAAAGCGAACCGCACCAAGAATAAAAAGCTACGTTTTAATAATTTTAATCCCCGTTTCGTAACAAAGCAATCGATCTACAGGTGTGAAAGCACCCTAAAACTTTATGATTCTTACAAGTTCTTTTCATCCTGATAATCTTAACATATAAACACAACTTTTATCAATACAATAGCCAGAAGTAAAAAGCTAAACATAACAATGGTCACCTGACTTAAGTGTCACCGTCACTAAGCTTCTGACAGCTCTTCAATCTTTATTTAAAAAAGCATTCCCTGAAAGTTTGATTTAGAATAGTTTGCAAGGGTGCGATTTATAAAGAAATTGAGGCTGTAAAAGCAAGTAAACAAATTTATCTGTTCGACGCAATGACATTTAATGTCCCAGACAGCAGATGTAGTACAATTGACCTTAGTTACTGTTGCTATGACTGACAAGCCATGGCGCTCTCACGCCACACATCATGTTCTCACGCAGTGAAAAATACACTGTGGAGCAAAGAGGAAACTGACAACACGCCGACAGACAAGACAGAGCAGGTTACTTTTGGTATGAAACAAAGTCTCAGCTTTCAAATGTTGTAATTTTTAAGAAATTCTAACAATAAATAGCATTTTGTGTCTCTTTAATGTGTCGTGACCGATTACTGTAGCGCCTCAGTTCAAGTGGCACATGAATAGATAATCTCTTCCTGTACTAGTTATAGCACGAAAAAAACATACATTAACATCAGAAGGTATCTTGTTTGAACTGCGGAAAGACATCAGTGCACACCACTTTTGAAGTTCAAGTCCACCAACATTAATCTACTCTCCTGTCTGGTTGTCTGACAGATTCTGCATTATGATTGGTCAGATCGCCTGTCAATCAAATACCCGGCAAAGGGTCAGTTTAGTCACTTGTTAGCAATCGCCTTTTTCAAAACCAGTAAAAGCTTTAAAGAAAAAACAAATGGTGTATTACTGATGTATTTTGTGTCGCAAAATGAAAAATATTTTGAGCTTGTGTTTACCACTGACCATATTTCAGGCATTTAACCAAAAACCCATTGATTTTTCAGGATGATAGAGGTGGAAGTGCTAAAATGCTAGCACGTTTCCTACAAAAAATACACTCTATACAATCGGGGTTACAACCCAGGTTTCAACCGAGTCTCCCACATTAGCACCAGACCTCAATGTGTCCGACATGTGGTTCCTTTCGTTGTTAATACTGTTTCAATGGGTCTGTGAAGGACCTGAGAGTGCTGCCCGGTGAACAGATATCATGAGGTGTTGTTGATGCTGTCACATTTGCTAAAGGAAGAAGAGTGGGATTGTGTCTGTGTGTACATGCTGCTGTGGGTTATGCATTTCCCAGCAGCCATTAGAGCCTGCACAAGCTGATAGGGTGACTAATCTAGTTGTCAGTGCACTGACAGAGATGAATGAAGAATGGCTTGACTTCATGCTCCAGACTGGAGCAGAGCAGCTCAGTGCTGCAGAACACGACAGCACTGTCCACAGACACTATATTAATGTCTACAGTCAACAGTACTGTCTATCTATATATATATATATTGGTTTGGGGCTGATAGATTTCTTTTTTTGATGTTTTTGAAAGAAGTCTCTTATGCTCACCAAAGCTGCATTTATT